CATGAGTGTAATCAGTAATGATGACATCGACCCGAGAACTTTGGTCATTGTTATTTATATTTGAGTTGGCTAAGTTAAAAATAATTACTACTACATTAGTAAAATATTTTACTAGTTGTAAATAAATGTAGTGGTTTATAATCACAAATTGAGTAGACTTGGAGGGGGGGCTTGACCCTCTAAACATTTTTAGTGTGCCTAAATTTTGCAATACCTTTTCAACAATTATTGCATTTATGAATTTACAAATTTATCTATGATTTATATTGAAAGGAATTTGTCAAAATAATTTGTATGCGGAAGAAATTTAAGTAAGTTTGCTATTTCTAATTATCGGCTTCATTTATAAGTTTTAGTCACAGAGACGTACTTAGAGACGGGTACAGGGGGCATGTGTTTGGTCTGTTGAAATTTTTGGGTTATTTCTGGCGTTCGATTGTCAAAAATAAAAATTGTAATTATTTCTATGGAAAATATATAAAAAATATTATACTTATGTTTAAGAGCGAATATTTTTTTTATTTAATCATTAAATACTTATAGATGCTAAGAGTAACGCATAATGCATTGGTCTAATCTTAAGATGATAAGCGTTTTTTTTATTTTTTTACCTATGGCATAAAATTCTTAAATACGTTTCTGTATATATATATATATATATTTATATTATTAATTAGTGTTTTTATTATACTAATAAAAAATAGAGGATAGCAAAAAATGGCAAAAATGATAAGTGTAATTCTTCGTAATATAAATAACAATTGTACTATTTATTAAGTATAGATGTTTAGGAACATTTTTTATTGCCCAAGTACATTATGTAAGATATCTGAATAATCCATATAATATGTATTCTTGTAATAAGTAAAGAATTGAAATATAATTGTATTATGATTTCTGTTATTTGGATTAAATTAAAAATATAATTTAGCTAATTTTTTGGTATTTAATAATGACAGTAGTGTCGTATTACGAAGTTTAGACAGGCTATATCGATAAAAAATAATTTTTTTTAAATGTAAATTTTCTAAATTGTTAATAACTCTTAGATTAGTTTGTTGCAGCTCTCTATGTTTCTCTATTATAACTCAGTTCTTTCAGGCCTTTGTAGTTATTTTTGATCATAACTTTTATTATCAGAGTCATGCACTCTTATTCTTGATCTTCCTGGGTTGAATATTTTTTCATACCTGTCATTTCCCCTTTTTAATATCTAATATCTCTTGATAAACGAATTACTCAGTATATTTTTTTAGCACTCTTAAGTTGTTAGAAATAATAACTTTTCTTTTACTTTTTTTTCATAGAAGTTAATGTTAAAGATGTTCTGAAATTTGCTTAAAAATCTGGTACCGGAATGCCTTTTTAGGGCCCAATTCTTATTCGATACTCAGTTGCATTATTAATAGGCATTTACTTGGAATTTCATTTAAACTTATAATTACTACTCAAGACGTCTCTAGCGTATGTCCCTGAAGTTAGTGACATTCGTCTGACGAATTTTAACGAATAGTCTATTAAAAAAACTTTCTTCTGCTAACATTTCAAATTTCAACTTTTTTTTTTGGTATTTCGAATCTATTTGCCCAATATTAACATAGTAATATGACGTTTAAAGTACATAAAATGATAAGAAAATGTATTTCTCTAATTTTTTTTTTGTAAACTTTGATAACGTAATTATTTATTAAATAGATATTCACCAGTGAGTAACATAAGTGTCAACAAATAATAAATAATTTTATACTATCTACAATATAATGATAAATTTTCTATTGATTTTTGTTACCGATTTCCAATCTGGCTTCAGATTTTTCTATCACATCTAGATTTTGAAATAATTGCTAATTATTAATTAAACCATAATTGAATAATAATATTATAAAAATTGAAAAATTTTTGTAAATCTCCTAATAAAATATAATGATATTCAAATAAATTGTACAAAATTTTGAACCTAACTATCAAGTAAACCGTTTTTATACTTTTTTATTTGAGTTTGGTGGTCATTTTCAGGCAAAAAAATATTGAACTATCCCGCTGTAAATTTTTATTAATGACTCATAATTATGAAAATGTTATCAAATGTTAAATTTTTTTGTTATGGATATCAATTTTTATTTATTTTTTGCTTGATAAATGATCGATATAAGTGCAATGATGAGAAAAAATATACGTATAGATAAAAAATTCGGTATAATGTAATGTTATTTTTATGTATTTTTTTGGAAATTTAAATGAACTACTTTTGTAGGCTTATATATTTTATTATTTGGCGCTTTCTACAGCTGTGTTTTTATATTTCGCGTATGATATTTGGTTGATCAGTTATTATTCAACTAATTACAAAAAAAAAGTCAGAAATATTTTGCAATTTATAATTGGTTACTATTTGGTTTGTTTAAAAATAATTAAATTATGATGAAATAATAACTGCTAATCGTTAAGAACACTGATTGTAACAGAAGTATTATAATAATTAGCCAGATTTAGGATAAGCGACAAAATTCCAAAAACAATTCACCTTAATATTATTGACAACAATATAACTATTATGATTGATATTCTTCGTTGATGATGACTACAGTTTAACGGGTGTATTAATTTAGCCATTAATTTCTTTTAAAAAGAATTATAATTTTTAATCTAACATAAAATAAAACATAAATAAATATAATTTCTCTTGATTTATGATAAGTCCTTAAAGTTGACTTAAAACGTTTATATAAAGGATATATATTTAGAAAATGTGTAAACAATGTAAGAAGGACATTTTTTTTAAACAGCGATGGAAATTAGTAATTTTGGTGCTATAAACATGTATCTTTTTTCATAAAAAGAGCTTTTTAAATAGTAATGAAAATATTCTAATTTTAAACACGTAATCAATTAGGGGGGTTAAAGCGAATGTGTTGTAAGTCAATTTTTGAGTATAATGAGTTTGAAATGTAGGTGAATATTTCAAACTTAATACTTTCTTTGGTATAAATGATAGTAATATAATTTAGTTATAAGGTAATATAATGTTATTTTTTAAATCTTCATTTATATTAGTCCTAATGGGATATGGAGAAAAATGACAAAGACAAAAATAGATGGACAAGAAAAGTAATAAGCAAGTGCTAGAAGAAATACGAAAAGAAAGACAGTTAATGAAGGTGATTAAATCAATAAAAATAAAGTTAATCGGACACATCTTCCGAAACACTGACTTTATAATCAACATCTTCGAAGGAAAAATAACTGGGAAAAACCAAGAGGACACCCAATAAATATTTTGAAAATATCCTGGAACTCATAAACTGTCTTTTGTTTCACTGAAGAATTTGGTGTCAAACAGAGAAGAGTGGGCTCAATGATAAGGCATTGCCTTTATTAGATGATGATGAATGGGATTACAAACAATTCGCCTTTAAAAATGATAAAACTTGACTACATCACTTACGCTTTAATCCTCACAATTATAATGAGTAGTAGTTTGAGTAGAAAGAAAAAAATTGTAGTTTTCCCATCCATATAATTTTAATCAGTTGTATTTTTTAATTTTATATTTAATGAAAGCTTGTACTTATTATCGTATATAATTGGCTATCATTCTAAGTAAGTGATAAAATGCACCAATCAAATTTTGTTTGTGTTCTGGTATGCACCTCGGACTATGATATGCTTATATGCTATATAATATTTGCAGTAATGTTAATTGTATGTCGTAAAAGTGGACCTTGGATTTTTTTATCAACACAAATTTAGTCACGTGGAGAAGAGTGTGTTTATATTTCGTGCAAGTTTTTTGCCAGTATTTACTATTTTCATTTCGACTAGACGTCTATTCTGTGAATTCAAGATTTTAAGTCAACCTCGTATCTCCACAATGCTACAGCTTTAAACTCTTTTAAACTAATTAGCAAACTTTTTTCAATTTTAAACCTTAGAAATATAAGTGAGCATATAATTGCTCATTTTATTTTTGAAGAGTATGAGTCCTATTTCAATCTTAAACTTAAACTAAAAAGGGTCGGATAACAAATATATAATAGTTAAATAACTTTTAAGTTATGTTTCACATACTTCACACATACATAATTGTAATTGTGTTTTTGCACCAGCTTAACGATATTATTTTCTTATATTTATATTTATTCTTATTATTCTTACTAATGTATTCCTTATTTATTAAACATGTATAATTTATTTAATGTTTTAGTACGTAGCCATAAGATGGTTTTATCATTGTTTGATTACAAAACTGTGCTATACTAGAGATATTGTAGTTTCCAAGTAATAAACTGCATTTTTTAAAAAAGAAAACGTTAATTTCAATAAAAATAATAATTGTATATTTTCTTGGTTTTTACAAAACTGATTATATTTTTCTCTGAAAATAACATCAAATTGCACTTCAATTATAATTTTAATGTTTAGATATTATATTGTATTTAGTTTTCATGTACATAACTGATTTATTTAATTAATAATTTATTTAATTTAATATTCTGTATATGAATTTGGTGTTATGAACCTATTAACACATACTATATGACGAATTTGGAGAGCTAAACACATTAATCTAATAAAATAATATTTATCGTTGAATGCACCGCATTTTCACAACTGTATTCGAACACTTAATCATTTAATGTTCGCAATTTTATTGTTGTATGTATTGTACAACGTAAAGATAGAAGAGTGTTTTTGTTGTTGTTATTAGAAAATAATGAAAATAGTTATTTGTGTTATTAAAACGCCTGCGCCGTACTGGCCCGTATACAGTTGTCATCCCCTCGGCGTTCCATGACCATGACCTTGGATACGTCAGTTTAACGTGAATATGCGTCGCTGTTTTGTCGTCATCATAGTTTGCGTTTTGTGCATTCTATGCAAACAGTGTGGCCACTGATGAGATTTGGTGTTTTTATATATCGGTCACACTGCGCGTTTGAGACCGCGCACATCGACTTGCTGAACGGCAGCAGGCCCGCGATTTTTTCAATCTATCTTTCAATATCTAGCGCTTTGCTCTCAGTGTCGGTCGTATGAACGGTTATCCGCGCAACATGTGTCGTTTTGAACGCGACGTTAAGTTGAGTGCGGTTAGGGTTATTCGTTTGTCCGTTAACTCTTTATAATAATTTTTAAGTTTTCGAAAAATCAATTACCGAAAAAAGATTTATTACTGCTATACTCGTTTTGCGGTAAAGTTTTCTTTTTTTGGTTTGTATTAAGTTTAATTTTCTCTCGTGTAGTTTAAACTTCCAAAACTGGAGTATTATCGTTGGGACGCCGTCACCGCGTACTTGCCAAACCCCGCCGACATTATGGTGCCCGGCGGTTGTGCGGCAGGCGGATCGTCATCCGTCTATCAGGGCTATGTCGTACCAACTCAGTCCGTTTATTGCCATCGCAGTTCTTATCATCATCACTCTCGCTTAAATGCCGCTGTACCTTCTTTATCCACCTACCAACACCTCAATGTTCAACAACCTGTTGGTGTTTACCACGATTGCTCTACAATGTCTTCATCCTTACAACTGTCTGCTTATTTCCAAGAGCAACAGAAGCAGCATCAGGTCATGAACGACGACTCTTTATCGTCTCCGCCATTAGTGTCAGTGCCTCCAGTCATTCCTGTGTATAATAATAATCAACTCCATCATCAAAATAAAACCAACCCCGCGTCTTCTCCGACTTTAACTTCGCCAGCTGTAACACCCACATACCATCAAGTTGCACCACCACAACAATATCACGATTGTTACGGAGTACCAGCGTACCCTTCGGTCGAAGAAACTGTGCCAGCCACTCAGCAGTCACAGTACCATCAAATAAACCAACAGCAATCATTACAAGCACAGGCACATCATCAATATTTGATGTCACCTCCGGATACCCCTCAACAGTACCACAACGACGATTATGGTTCGATTATGGGCTCTTCGGAGTATAACAAGTAATTTTTAAGTTTCCCTTGTATTAGTTTGTTTTACACGCATATAGTACAAATATAAATAATCAATTTATCTGTTTCAAATGAGATCGTTGTATTATTGCACATTTACTTTAACATCACAGTAATATTTTCCATTTGAATTGGCTAATTGAATTTAGTCTAGACGGGTAATCGGTCTCATTAATATACGTTAAGGGTTTTTCCCGTATGTTAAGAGTTGGCGCGCTGTTAAATTTTTTTCGAAGACTAATAGTACAACACTATGGCTCTACTACGACGGCTCTATAGCATCATTCAGACATTGGTTTGATTACAAACACTGTTATCGTGTTCAGACAGGCCAATTATTATTATTAGTATTCATTTTTAATATTATTTTTATTTCTGTTGAACAAATTTTTTGTATTACTATGTACAAATGTACAACATTGAAATGTTGCGGTTCGGTAGGAATTGTTAAATAATGTGAAGTTGTTATTATCAGCCACCATAATTATTGATATCACAATATCCATCTGTTTTGTTATCGTCCCTGAAAAAAAAATAAGCTTATATATAATAAAAGTGTAATGCATTTTAACTTGATTTATTCAAAAAATAATTTATCACTATTAGTCATTTATTGTACTTTTACAGTCTTTGGCTAGTTTTGTTTGAAGTTTATTGAGACATTAGGGTTCATTAATATTCATTGTATTATAGTTGAAATTGTTTGTTATGGAATAAAAACGTGTATTCTAGGTATATATAAATTAAAAACTTATAACATCTCAAACGCGTGCGAAAGAGAAAGAAGAGATCACAAGAATAGATAATCGTTTTAACCTTTGTTGTTATCAATTTTGATATATTAATTTATTATTAAAATGTACAATGAAACTAAACAAGAAATAACCATTGTAATACATATTTTTGTCTCTCCTTATTTGTTTTCTAGCCTTTTTCTCGATTTAAATAAATTTAATAATTTTTTGACGTAAAACTAACTAGTATGACACTTTGTTAAACACATTATAAATTTAATTTTAAAATTTTCTGCAACATTTTTAACTGGTTTAATATTTTAATTGTCAATATCTAATTGCGAAAACAAAATTACTCTGATTTTAATATCAGATTACAGTAAATAATTTTATTTATCGAAGAAATCTGTGGATTAAAATTTACTGTTTTGCTTTTATTAAAATGGTACTAGTGGCTTATTTTTCCACTTGTATTTATGAAGATTACTTATATTCAATGTAGAAACTGCATTCTATTACTATTACTATTTTCATTGTTAAGTTATGTGGTTAACAATTTTAAATAATTGTTAAATACATTATTTTTTGGTTTAATAAACAATTGATTTCTTAACATTTTTCTGTTTTCAATAATATTAATGATATTTGAAAAATAATTTTATATTATTTTTCCATAAACATCATTCCACATGTGACTGTCATTTATTTATTAAGTGTTTTTATATCTTTTCTTTAAGAAGTTGTAATTTATATGGTTTTGCAAATCGTTTTACCGCGGTTTGTTTGTCACCCTTTGTTAAATAATATTAAATTAGTTGTTTGCCCTCTGTGCCCGTGGCATTTTATTAAGAGTACTCGTTAGATGATGTTCATAAAAATCTTCCGATCAAAAGTAAAATTGGTGTCGATGACGTGGGTGAATCTTTTTCTATTGTTGTTTATATCATAAAAAAGAAAATATTTTGAGTCGTTCATTTCTGTCATTGCCTCTTTAATGCGTCCTACGCATTATGCTGTAACTGTTTTTCAGTAAATAACGAGCTTTTTCGTGTTTATTGGAAAGCTGAAAAAATAAATCCTTTGAGAAGTTGCGCGAGAACTATACATAACGCCCTGAAAAATAATAATAAGCATTTAATTTCCACGTACTTAATAATATTAGTTTGAAACCACAATTCAAATGCTTCACATTGCGTAGTTGTTTACCAGAGCATTTGTTTGTGTAAAAATATTTATGAATATAATATATCTTACCTTCATCACAAAAGATATATGTGACAAATCAATTAGATTCGATGCGAAGCTGAGAAGGTATTGGTTTTACTTAAGATGTGTTTTTTTATTTTTTTTGTGTCTGTTACCACTTTTTCTCAGCTCTCACCGAACCGATTTCTTTCAATGATACGTCAAAAGATCACAAATCGTATCTAGTCCAAGACATTACCCTCAAAAATTGAAAAAAATTCCCTCGTTCCCCGTAAATGGGGGAAACCTCCAAAAAAATTACAAATTTAAAAATCGCTAATTTTCGAAATTTTTTCAATTTTTTTTACTTAAAAGTGCCATAACTTTTTCAAAAATAAACATATCAATATAATTCTTTTTTATATAGATGCATAATATCATTACCTTTCATTTGGTATATTTTTTTCATAAATTTAACCCTTAACCTGCCCACAAGGGGGGATTTAAAATGACAACTTTTTCACAAAAAATTAATTTTTTTAACTTAAATTTTGAAAATGTTCCGGAAGGTCTGACACTTTTATATATATCTTAAATTAAAGCTAATGTAATATGCTTTATCATGAAAAAAAAAAATTTCGGACTTTATCTTATCTTCATGGTGAAAATGGCTACCGAATGCTATTTTTGTGTGAAAATTTTCGATTTTGTATTTTCCATTTTTAACTTTATTATGCTATAACTTTTTGAAAAATGTATGAATCATTACAATTTTTTTATGAGAAGTAGTATTTATATAGATCTTTCATTCGACATACTTTTTTTTTAAATCGGACCATTTCCCTTAATACAGGGGGGATTCAAAACATAAAAATGCATATAGAAAGTATAACTTTTTCAACTTAACTTTTGAAAGTGTTCCGGAAGGTCTGACACTTTTATATATATCTTAAATTAAAGCTAATGTAATATACTTTATAATGGTAAAAAAAAATTTCGGACTTTATTTTATCTTCATGGTGAAAACAGACATTAAACTTAATAAAAAAAATACGATTTTTGTAAAAAAATTCTTTTTTTTATATTTTTAACTTTATAATGCTATAACTTTTCGAAAGATGTATGGATCAATATAATTCTTTTTTTTATAGATGCATGATGTCTTTACCTATCATTTGGTATATTTTTTTTTATAAATCTGACTTTTTACCTGCCTACAGGGGGGGATTCAAAATGACAACTTTTTCACAAAGAATTGACTATTTCAACTTAACTTTTGAAAGTGTTCCGGAAGGTCTGACACTTTTATATATATCTTAAATTAAAGCTAATGTAATATACTTTATTATGGTAAAAAGAAATTTCGTATTTTATTTTGTCTACAGGGTGAAATTGGCTACCAAATGCTATTATTGTGTGAAAATTCTGGATTTTATTTTTTTATTTTTAACTTTATAATGCTATAACTTATTGAAAAGTGTATGGATCAACATAATTTTTTTATGAGAAATACTATTTTTTAATAATCCCTCTTTTATTCGATATACTTTATCTGAATCAGGATATTAATAACGAACTAGCAGATCATGTTGCTTTTGGAATAATCCACCTATTTTTTAAAATTAAACACTATCTAAAGATTTGCATCGAAGCGTTTTTTATGATAGTGATTTTAATCACTGTCAGATATCATTATACTTGATCCAAATATGTCACGTCACCACAGTGCCGCGACCCCCCTGTGCTGGGTTTTTCATTCTCATTATGATCTTTTTTTTAAATATCACTTAAACCCTGCTTTGTTTTTTCCGTAGAATTTGTCAGATAATAATTCATTTTATCCTGTTTTTGTTTAAAACTTATATACTGATGAAAAAACATAACAGGTAAATATTTACCCTAAAATTTGTTCACCCTTTATGATTTATGGTATCTTGTTTATCTAAACAGTAATCTATCATTGGGAAACGTTAATTTTTTATTAAAAATATTATCTTCCAATTTTAATTTTTTCAGTTATTCATGATTTCCTTGTGAAAACAACTATTATAATTTATAACTATCTTTAAATATAGATTAAATGTCGTATTTTGTATTGTTTTGGTATCCTTAGGTTATTAATATTGTATTATCAGGATTTATTTATTTTTTGTATTTAATTTTAAAAAATAAATTAATAATCTTATAAAATTTATAGTTGGATTCCATTCCAAAAATTTTGGAAATCATTTCCAAAATACTCAAGAATTTTTTTGATGCTGACTTTGACCTACTTTGTTTTTCGGTTCAATAATTGTATGATTTCACAAACATGGCTTCACGTAATCTGACTAAAAACTTATTATTATTATAAAAATGTGTGTTATACATTAAATATGGTACTTTTTTTTATAAATTGTAGTCTTTATCTTTCATAATGATTTTTTTTTTGATAGTAGATTTTGATTTATGAAACTATAACAGGTGAAACCACATTTATTAATAAGTTAAAATTATTTGTTCTTAGAGTAGATTTACATGAGAATTTGTTGATTTTTAATGATGCTATACCTCGATTAATAAAATGATAAATGAAAATTTGCTAGTTAGGTCTAATACAATGAATTTATTTAAAAATGTTTATTCGCCAATATTACGTCTTTCCGTGTCATTTTAGACCATAATATGTTTAATATGTGATAGATTCTTTTTTTTTAAGTCGTTAAAGGTAATTACCCTAAAAGGCGGTATATTAAAATGTCTTCATTTTTTAATAATAATTTTTTGTTCCATTTCTTAAAAAAATATACAAAGAAATAATATGACTTACTATAACAGGTCATTCGTTGTGTTATTGCATAATGCCTATTAAATAAAACTACGGTTGCTAAAAATTAACATGATTAAAATTGTTTTTTTAACTTTATGATTTTACTAGAGTGGTTCTATTATTATTATGGTAAGATCAACAAATAATAAGCATACCTAGCAATATAGTTTAAATTTAAGAGTTTATAAGCCATTAAACATTTACTCGTTTAAAAAAAACAGATAGTTATTCAATGGCCGAGTGATAAAAAGTGGTGGTTTTTCATTCCACTTAAATTTATTCTTTTTTAAACTATACATATAAATATTTTTGATTGATTGACTAATAATGCATCCAAACGGTGTTTGGAGACAAAAAAAGTGTAATATCTCTGTTACAACTCGTATTTGTGTTTCATAAATGTAGCGATGAATAATATGTTTTAATTTTTACAATTAATAATATTTTTTATTAGAACCATATTTGACTCGATATGTAATATTTAGTGTTATTAATATAATTAAGTTGTATCCTTAATATCGTTATCCTAACTACAAAAATATATATCTAAAAGAATATTTTACATGCAACTAAGTATCTTGATGTCTCATAATATCAACAGTGTTATATTGTTTTATAAAACAAGATTAACAGTTTACATACAATAAACGTTGGTTTGGCGATTTTTTAATCTTTTCGTCTATTCGTATAGTTATAAAAATTATTTAATAGAAAATTTGCATGTAAATTCCAGTATTTTTTTAATTACAATATAAAAAGAATTCTTAGCAAAATCCATTAGCTGGTATTCTTTATTATAACTAAAGAATCATAAAAATTGTTTTACTATTTACACGTAAATCGTATTATTAAAACATTAATAAACCTGTGATTGAAATAATAATTAAAAATGTAATTTGAAAATAACGATAACAATTTTAAAGTGGCTCATTATTAACCGAGTTAAAGATATCCTAACTGGAATTGTTACGTTTTACATGTATTTGAAACGTCAAAAGTTTCAAAATTTACATTCTTTGTATGGGATATATTAAATGTTTTAAACACTTTTTTTTTATATATTTTTTATTAACTCTGACCCAAACAGATTTTTTGGTGTTAACAATAAAATAGTTCAAATGATTTTTAAAGGGGTCAGTATTTAATGTTGCTGCTATTAAAAGTAAAAAATTGAAAAAGCGTTGTCCTCTTTACCGGTGTTATGTTTTTATAAGATAATAGAGTATATAATGCTAAACAGAGAACTGTATACAATCAAGTATAAAATTGGCATTGGCGTTTATAAATATTTTTGTTGGGCAAAAAATAAACCTTTCCGCTAAAACTAAAGAGTTAAATGTAATAATCAATAAAATAGTTATCCATTTAAAGAAAGGTAAATTTTTTTTTTAATTTATCTTATTATAATTATATGTACTTAATAAAATTCTACATTAGAACTTTTCAAACAGTCAATTGAAAACAATTTGGTAGAACTATTCAAATATATTTTAATACTATTCAATTGTCTAGTTAAATAATTACAAATACTTTTCGATAGTTATTAAATATTTAACAGTTTATGCTAAAAATAAACTATTTGGTTGCATAAAAATTATTTGAAAGGATATTCCATAGTTTTTTTCTAAATTATTCTAACAATTCTAAATTAAAACATTTTCGAAAATAACCGTCACTGATTTAGAAGCGTATTAAAAAAAAAAACGTTCCTAGAATGGGCTTGAAATATTTATATCTGATGGATTTGAGGGAGGCTACATCTACCATAACCACTAGTACACGTTCTAAAATACATATACTTATATTAAAGTAAGGTACACTTATCATATCTTTTTTTTTTTTTCACTATAATTACTTTCTTATTAGTATGATAAATAATAAAACATTATAAATGCAAGCAATGATTAAAAATAGCAACTAACTTAGAATTTCTTTAGCAAAAAAATTATTGAACGAATTCCATCATATAAATCATAGATAAATTAGTACATTTTTAAATGCAATAATCCTTGAAAAAGTATTACATAAATCGATGTGCACTAAATCAAATTTGGACAAAACTAAGTCTTTCCAAGCTCCCACCCATCAATTTACGTCTGAAATTAAATTTAAATTTTACTTTTTTCATGCTATGAATGAGTTGTTTAACAAGTGAAATATTGCGTTATTTAATTCAAGATTTATCTTGGTTTTAATATTATAAATAATATCTATTTAGCTTTAGCGTCATAATTTGTAAAAATTCCTCTCGCTTTTCAAAATAAAGAGAAATGTCTTAAACAATTTCAATTGTTTTAAACATAATTATAAACGTAATATTTATACTTTACATTGAAATATATTTTTGAAAACTAAATGGATATTTCTTTTCAGTTTTTTATAGTATTCCAAAAAAATATATGTCCTGTTAAAGTTAATATAATGTACTTTGATATTAAGAAATAAAAACTATCCAAAAACTTTATTTCTAGAAGTTCAATAATCATAGAATTTATAATATCATTTTGAAGCACAGTCTAGCAACGAAACATCAATATTATTAAAAATTAAATTAATTGAAATTTTCTAAAATGTACTTTAAGATTAAAAAAAAATTTTCTTTGTTTAAATAAGGTAGGTAAAGTCAAAATTTGTAAATTTCTGTTAAAATTTTTCAATTTTTTTTTCTTGTCTCAAACAATTACATTGATGCGTTTTATGATAGTAATGTCTACCACTATCATATCGAATTGCAATCTTCTATAAATCGGATTCTCATTATGCTGAGAATCTGACTGTACTATTTTTTTTGTTTATTATTATTATAAATTATTTTTATTTTGATAAATAAAAAACCGCTTTTTTCAATAACTGGTTTTTAATCTAATTCACCACGCCTACGACGATTGGTCTACTCAAAACACCTTGACTGCTTCTATAATAACAGACACAATTTTGTATACAACTTAATATTGAATTTGTTACCAATTTGTTAATTGTAAAATGATTGTTTCAATAGTTTGTGTAATGGAATTTAGACGATAATTTTAGCATGATTTTTTCTATAAAGCTATTCGTGTTATCCAATAAAAATAAAAGTTGATTCAGGTGTTGTGCAATGCGAAGTTTTTATTTCTTAATGATTCAGTTAGCTATGTTGTTTTTTATTTTGTTATTTGAGTAACGTAGATAATACTAATGCGATAGATCTACAAAGTTTTAATTTGATTACTAAATGTATCATATAGCTTTGTATGACCCTTAATCGGCTAATTTTCTGTAATCCACAATATAAACGTTTTACTATGAAACTAATATCATCGCAAACTCTGCACTATATTTACTGTATGTAGTGAATACAAAGTAAGCCGTGTATTGCTCTCAAAGGCACTTATGATTCTAATTTTCGATTTGCGATTTTAACGAATTTTAGTCGAAAAGGGTCAAGACGCACGATGAAAATATATGTTAATGTGATCGCATGTTTTTCACTTTATTTAGAAAACAATAACGTTCCCACAAATATTGTCGCCATTTTTAAATGCTACCATTGTGCCTCTGTGTAAATAATATTAGGCTGATAGTATCAACTCTTTAGTTAGATAATTTCTTAATAGCTTACACGCAAGTTCTGTTAATACCTTTATATATTATTCTTTTGTTACAATATTATCTTCATTGGACGATTTATATTTATAGTTACAAGTGGAGCCATTGCTAAATATTTTCAAACTTAAAAGTATTTAGTTATTATCATAGCTTTATTTCTATATGAGTATTCCAATTTCAAAAAATAATCAAATTAAACAAATTAATTCGGATTTTTTAAATTACGATAGGACAATTATTTACTTTAATTGACGAATTTTTAATAACATAAAAATAATGTTGATATATTTAAAAAATCATTAAATCATTAAACATCAAACATTTTTTTTTTTTCTGACTAGTGATTTGACTATGCTTTCAATATTTTTTAATGTTTAGAATACAGAGCGTCCTTTGTGTCGAATATATTCTTGAACTTTTGATTCGCTGAATATATTTTGTTATAGTCTTTTATAAATACTTGTTAAAATATAGAACTATAATAATATCACAAATATAAATTATTTATTTTTATGTATGAAGAAATAAAATGTCTAAAAAAATTACCAGAAGTATTAAAAATTATCACAATAGCCTTCTATATATTTAATTATATAGAATATATATTTAAAATATAAAATTTGTCAGAACAGACCGGGAACACTGTGTATTAGTATATTATTAGTAATTATTATATTTGTGGAAGATTATTCATCGACCCAATTTTATGATTAAGTATCTCTAATACACTTCACCTTATTGGTTTTGCAAAAGCTTAATTGTATTGTAAAATAAAATTTGCGTGCAATCATTTATTTGTAGATACTATATATGTTCGTATTTTTATAGAGGCTTCATATTTAATGATAGTTGCTGATATGAAACATAATTTTTGTTCGTCCTTCACTATATAGTTAGATGGCAAAAATAATATAATACTATATTTACATAATTTAAATTTTACATGCCAGTGAATTTTCCAATTCTATAAATTCTATATTAAACATCGAAATGTGTAGTTTGGCGGGTAGCTGTAAATTTTTTATTAGTGTTCCTTTTTAATCATAATGAAACATTTCTTGTCCATAAATATTATTCCTCTGTTAACAATTGTTTTGTACTTTAAATTTTACAAACTTTAAACTTTTAATTTACTGTATTATGATAATAAAATTACTCCCTCTACATTTTATAGAAATCCAAGATTATTATTTTGTATTATTTCTTCTATATTATTTTTAAAGTATACATTCAAAACAATCGTTAATTATACTTGATGTTATGTTTAAATTATTAAAAAGTCTAATTATAGTAAAACTTCGTAGATAATCTCTATATTAGCAATCTGAATTTATTTCACTGGAACGGTTTGACGATAGTTACACTTTTATATAAGTTTCTGTTTTGTGTGATAATCCAATGTATTTTGATATTCTGATTTAAATATGATGATTCCTAATATTCCTGCGCGCGTTACATAATCTGGTATCTATAAACTATAAACAAAATGTAATTACACAAATAAATCCACTAATATCTCAAATTTCAACAAGTATTTTACTTACAAAACTACCCTAAAAACTAAAATTATGGAATAGTCTAATATGTAAAACGATAGAATAAATAATCTAACAAATAATTAATTAATTAACTTGCTAAAAATTTAAGTCATTTATTGATAGCATATTTTCTTACTATAATTATATAAATTTGAATAAAAAATAAAAAAAACATTCTGAATGGCAAAATTTATTATTTAAACATTCTTGATATTTTAAGTTTAACTTTTTTTTAAATTTTTTTAATATTAAATTATATAATAATTATACATTGATAACATTATTACTCTGTTTGTCATCTTTACTATTACAATAATACAATTATATTATTATTATGTAATTATTATCATTGAGTGGATTAACTAGCTCAGTCGGTAACGTGTTATGCTTAAGTTCGTAGGTATCACGTTCAATTCCGTTGCGCTGGCCTATGTAGGTTTTTCTGTATTCTCTGGTACAAGCAATAGCTTTTAAAGAATACTTTTAACATTATTACATTAATTACCGTTAAGAAGGGACCATTAAAGAAACGTTATATTTTAATTTTTTTTATTCACGCCATTAGTATTATGAGTTTAGTTAAAGTTGATCTTTTTTTCCCGGCAATATTTTAGCTACATTAAAAATAAAAGCAATTATTATTGTTTCTTGTACCATTATTTAGACTCGGCAAAAGTTAGGACTAGTTCTGAGTATGGTATAAATTTTATTGCATTTTATATCTTATTATGAATGCTTACACGATTAATTGCGATATGTCTAATTTAATTTGATGAATAACATGATTTTTAAATATTTCATATTGGTTTTTAGTAGAAGTATCAGATAAAAATATTTGGTTAATAACTAAACAGTGTAATATATATTTATCAGATTCATTTTTATTCCGAAGGTAAATACTAAAATTGATAATATATTACTATTTTATTCTAACTGTACAAGTTTTTGCTATACTAACACTATTTTATGCATGGATATAAAGTTTTTGAGATTTAAAAGCTAGTGCAATTCAAAATAATTCTTTTAGTCTTATTAGATATATGTGTTGCATTTTCAGCAATTTCATTAATTATATGAATTGCAGACTTGTATAATTATTTTGCGTCCACGGACAATAGCAATATAATTAAGTTTAATATTTAACTTGTTGTAGTTCATACGAATTAGTCTATGTACATTGTTAAATTTCGATAAAAGTGTCTATACAATTTAATTGAAACCAAATAAAAATTTTAACAATTGATAATGTAATCAAATTTTGAGGAATAACGTGTGGTGAAATTTAAATCACGTTCTTATAGAATATTTCAAAAGTTCTAAAAACTTTGGAGTTGTTAATGTTAACTAAGGCATATAACAGAAATGTTCCAAAACTACATTGAAATTATGTTAAGCCAAGTTTTGATGATCGTATTATTTTTATTAAAAATTATAAAAAAATTCTCCTCGTACATACCCAAATATCACTCATCCCATATCAAGTGAGATTTGAATAGTAACCATCTGAAAAAGTGTTATTTCAAAAACAATTTTAAATGTTGTTATTTGTATTATTTTTTCGATAATTGTTTTAAAAATACCTTAGTTTCGTGTCATATCATAGTTTATTACGCAGTGAACGTGAGGTCGAAGAAAAACTTGTTATTTTAATTTTATAACTTATTTATACACATTTAATAGAATGGTATCGATCGGAGAAAGTTCGAATAAAGCAAAAAGACCTGTCAAAATGTATGCGATTATGACTGCATTATTAATACACATTCGTTTTTCATTTTGAAAATTGGCTTTTCTCGACAATATTAATTTTTTTGTATAAATGTAGTAGATTAAGCGTGTTATTGTTTTATAGTCTGAAGTAGATTATTTGTATTTATAGAATGTAAAATGTTGGCTTAACAAAAGACATAAAATTAATATATCTTCAAAAAATGTTGTTGTTTAGCTGTTCAAACGTAATCCACACCCTATGGTATATTTGTAAGAGCGTAATACTTGTAATAATCAAATTTAATATTTTAGAAATATTTTTTCATAGCAATTTAAAAGTTTGTTCACTTAAATCTTGTTTTTTTTTTTTTTACTTTATTTTACTTCAATTACTTTATTTCCAATTTCAGCTGTTTAAAATTTGCTGACCTAATTTTACTAACATCATCACAAGATGAGCTTGTGTATGATATGATTAAATAATTTAACACATTATTATTATCTTTTTCAATAAAACCATGTTTGAATTCTTAATGAATTTTTTTTTGTTAAAGCCAAGATTCCTAATAATGGTTTAAATGCATTTATAATTGCTAAATAAATTATTGTTGCCGTATTATGCAACTACTACAATGTGCAGGTTTATTTTATCTATCCATTCAAATTAATAAAACGTGTAGACGATAAAAGATCCTTATTAGTATTAACATACATAATTGTTTACTGTTCGATGTTCGTTTTAACTATACAAGATTTCTTGTTTTCATGAACTATCATTATATTCATCATTAATTTTCATTATCATTTTTACAAATAGCTTAGAACTAAAGTTAATAGTTTTTCTCTAAACAACTTTTAAGTTGAATTTTCCCTTATTATTTAAATCAAACTTAAATAATTCTCATTGGCTTTTCACTAGAAAAAGTTAACTATTAACATAAGTTTTGACTGAAAAGAAAAGTTATTTTTATGCTTTCTATTTCGTTAAATACATAAATACGATTATAGGTTAAATTGAGATTTTCATAAATTTTATTTTTCTCGATTGAAACAAGTTGTTTCTATTTTTTAAAAATCAAAGCTCTAAAAAGATCATTTCATTCTTGGAATCGCTTAAAAAACCTAAATTAATTTGCAAAAGTTGTGTTATTTTTTCTGTCGACGTCTATCCAAAAACCAAATTAGTAATAGATTCTGAATTGTTACATATTTTCAAATAATCATACATAATTTGATACTGAACATCAACTAGGTTAACTTAACATAACCTAACGACCTTCAATAACTTTCCTTATTCCCTTGCATAGGCATTAAAATCATCATTATAACTTTTGAATCAAAAGCGATTGTAAATTTTAGTTTCACATACATTTTTAATTATATGTACTTAAAGTGTTGCGAATATTTTTAATATGTTATTTTATAATATTTGCTTATATTGTAGTATACAATGATGTAAACACATTGATTGATACGTTTCTATAATAGAGTTAACTTTAAGCAAATATTTATTAATCATGGTATTTCTTTTATATTCATTTTATAAAAAAAATTTAAATAATGACAGAAACATTAAGAAATTGATTTTTTTTGTTAAGCTGTTTAATGATTAGTGATATTAACTTTGAATCAAATAAACTATCCAGTGAATACTGCTCAGTTAATTTTCTAGATAAAATAACAGTTATATTTTTAATAATTATTTTTCCGTTATTAGCCACGTTAATGCTACAAAATGACTTTGTTTTAAATTCAGAATGAATATCTTTTTTTTTTATAATTATATTTTCTGTGAAATCCTGTTGCTGAAAAAAAATATTTGACCATTCACACTAACTTTTGTCTTTCTTTTTGAATTGTGTTAAAATTCAATGAAAAATTTGTATTTTCTCAATAATATTTGATTTTATATTGTAAGATTATAATTGTACTTAATCATATTTTTACTCGGTTACTGGGGTGTGTGCTTTTTTAATACCAACGTATTAAAATTACTTTTTTGATCTTGATGTCGAATGTTACATATTTACATATTTATTTAATTGGAAATGTCATACATGTAAGGACATGATACCAAATAAGTAAATTTGATAAATTAAAACAATACATAATTAATTAAAAAATTTCACAAAAATTTCAAGTTATTAATGATACCAAAAAATTAATAAAAAAAATATAAATTGTCGCATTTATTATGCTTTAATAATCTATCAAGTTCTTAAAATAAATATAAAAAAGATGAATTAGATTTTTAGTAATAATAGTTTACTAAAAAATATGAATTTTAACAAAATTTAGTAAAAGTGTTGTAACTTTTAGCAATTCAATTTGAGAAAAATAAATAAAATGAATTGCTTGAAATGGTAGTGTCATTCTCAATTTAAGTAACTAATCTTTAAACAAATATGAAGGTATTCAAATAAAAAGCAAAAAAATAAAAGTTGTTTGATTAATTTAAAAGTGAGTCTTAAGTTTTATGATTTTGAAGTAACATTTATGTATTTATTGACATGTTAGTTCTTTAGAATTTATATTTTAAATGAAGTTGGATAATCAAAAAACAAAATAAAACTAATATATGTAAATCGATGTTAATAATAGTAATATTTTAGATACTTCCGCCATTTTTAAACCAAGTTGCGTTTGAACAATAAAGACGTATTTAGTATATAGTATGATGCTTTTATCATGAGTCACTTATAAAATCAAAAATTAAAAATAATGTTGATAACTTTTGTTTTTTTTTTTCGTCTCTATAACCTTATAAGGTTGACGAATTTATTTGTTCAAGTGGCAATATACATAATGAACTATTTTATCATGGATAACACTGCATCAGATTTTTATGCTAAATAATATGACAGTTAATTCTGAATAGAATTTTGTCGATAATTCTAAATCTGACCTTAAAATTATCAGATTGTTCTAGTTTATCAGATAATCGATACTTAGATAAAATCAGGTAAACCCCAATTAAAACTTTAATGGACTATGTTTAATAGGTACTTGCTAAATTTGAGATCTATATATCAAGTTTAAGTGACTACACATGGCCCTTAAAGTTTAACGATCATTTAACAAAAATAAAAGCTTAACTTTTATTGCTCAAACCTATAATTATAATACTTTTTTGATGACCGATAAGAGATTTTACAAGGATTTTAAAAACGTAATTTTTATGTTTCTTGCATTTCTAGACATTGAAATAATTGCTGGTAACGATAAAAATCCTAAAAATCTAAATATATTTGAAATTATCACAATATTTTTATAAAATTATCTTTGATTCTAATATTAAATATATTTTAATATAAATGACGTTGCACTGTTCTACATAATTTTTGAAAAAAAAAATAGTTTAATTATATTTTATTTAGAATATGGTATCATATTTTTTGCTACAGAAAATTTTGATTTTGTATTAATTTTGCAGTGTGGCAATGATTTAATAAAGAAAATCATAGATCGAAACAAAATTTGTATGAGTATATCTGAATTTATTTACATTTTTATACATTGACGGGAAAAAGAGTGAATTTAAGAAATGTCTAGCAATAAAAAATAACAACGCCCACGCCCCTTCTTCAACTATTACTTTACATTATTCATAACTACTGAAATATTGGTATATAAATTTGTATCGACCAGTCATTTTATACTTAGACCATTATACAATAAATAATCTAGTTATTTATGTATGTTGCCATACTTAATAATTAATCATTTTTATTTTATCTACCATTAATTAATTAATTATTTTTAATACAATTTAAAAAATTGATCATAAATCATGATAAAATTATAACCCTGTATAAGAAGTATTTTTGAAATTATACTGAAATATAATATGAACTAAAGTAATATTGCTAAAATTTTGAAAAAATAATTTATATATTTTTGCATAGATGTATTGTTATCATACTCGTTTATTCTATTAATTTGAGCTGATATAAAACCGTCGACTTTACTTGCATTATTATTTTTATAGAAATGTGAGAATGTATGTATGCTATTTCCATATAGTACATCTTTACTAGCATATTAAAATTAAATGACTGTATTTTAAATTACTACTTTTATTATGCCCTGGATTAAAAAAGTTAATTGAATAAAAAGCAGTACAAATATTGAAATTTTTAATTAAAAATTACTGCGTTTATGTAATATTACAACTGGTTGTTTTTAAATTTTAAATTCAGTAGTTATTTGTGTTAACTTGACGCCACACGTCTGTTGAATAAAGCATCATTGTCTATCAGAAGACCAGTTAAAACAGAAAGTAACATATAACTTATCGTACCATAATGTGTTTCCGCTTAATTCGGTATCGCATTCTGATCTATTATTGTGTTCACCTAGTATGAAAATATTTTATTTTTATGCGTTTCCCATGAAATTCCCTAAATTACTTTAGTTATCACAGATTGTTCTGTAGTATACATTGTATAACAAAGTTGATTACATTTTAGTAATACACTTACACTAATACAACATATCTTCATTTATTAATTTTTTCTGGAAAGTGAAATACTTATACAATATATAAATTATATTATTTCTGTTTTTTTTATGACAATTATGGTGCTAATAACTATTAGGGATCTATGCTAATACGTGGCGCGGATAAGTACAGCCCAAATTGTTATACGTATACTCTGCCCACGTTCCATACTCACTCTATGTATTAAAATGCTTCTAAAATTATCTTAACGTTATGGGCTCATCTAAATTTTTTTTAAGAAAAAATAGATTTTACAAAATTTTGAAAACGTTAAAAAAATATGTCTTGAGTGTAATCTAAAAGGGTAATAATTACTTATAAAAAAATTTGATGAAATGATAATTGGATCGAAAATTATTGAAAATGTTAATTGAAAATCTTCTTGCTTATTCTATATAATAAAACCAATTTTTTAAATATTTTAATTTAAAGATAATATTTTTTTATTGCCTGGTATTTTCATCGATTATTCTCTTAATAA